CCTTCAACCTCATGAACCAACCTCTGCTAGCTTCAGACTTTTCTTTTGCAGCTTCCTCACCTCTCTCAGCCTACATAGAATTGAAGAGAGTTAGGGCCTTGCTCTGGATTCAGCTTTGGCTTAAGGGATGTTATGGCTGGTTTAATCCTCTATCCAAACCACTAAAACTTTCTCCATATCAGCAGTAAGGCTGTTTTTCTTTCTTGTCATTCTTGTGTGCGCTAAAGTAGCACTTTTAATTTTCTTCAAGAACTTTTCTTTTGTACTCATAATGTGACTATTTGTCACATGGGGCCTAGCTTTATTACTTATCTTGCCTTTTGACATGCCTTCTTCACTAAGCTTAATCATTTCTAGCTTTTGATTTAAAGTGAGAAGCGTGATGAGACTCTTCCTCTCAATTGAACACTTAGAGGCCATTGTAGGGTTATTAGTTGGCCTAATTTCAACATTGTTGTGTGTCAGGAGATAGGGAGGCCCAAGGAGAAGGAGAGAGATGGGGTACAGCCGGTAGGTAGAACAGTCAGAACACACAACATTAATCACTTAAAATGCCATCTTATATGGACAAGGTTCATGGCACCCCAAAACAATTACAATAGTAACATCAAAGATCACTGATCACAGATCACCATAACAAATATAATAATAATGGAAAATTTTGTGTGAATTACCAAAATGTGACAGAGAGACACCAAGTGAACAAATGCTGTTGGAAAAATGCTGCTGATAGACTTGCTTGATGCAGGGTTCACAAACCTTCAATTTGTAAAAAACACAATATCTGCAAAGTGCAATAAAGCAAAGCACAATAAAATGAGGTATGTCTGTGGTTTCAGAATCTGCTCCTGGTATACCTATTTTCAGATAGGTATGTCGCTGTCTTTAAAATCACTGTCCCCTTTAAAATTTTCCTTAGAAAGACTGTCATTTAAATAGTATTCTCAAATAGGATTTCCTGGACCATTATCACATATTTCTCCTACAATAAACTCATAGTTTGTCTTTTGATAACAGTATATGTCATTTGCATCTTATCTTCAAATCCATTCCCTGTACTCTCTTTGCTCCCATGGGGGCTAATACATTCTCTATTTCCAAAGTTCTCTTGCCTTCCAATTAAGTTTGGCCAATCAGAAACTGTGGCAGATCAGAGGGTTGTAGGAGGGAGAATAACCACATTATTTCTCTTTTGCTTTATGCTTCAGATGACATAACTAGCAGTGGCTGCATCTTTTCCATCTCCATTGATCCATTACCTTGTGTGTTCCATGAGATGCTCCTGAATCCTTGTGTGTAACATGAGATGCTCCTGAATCAATAAGTTCCTTTTATGCTTAAGGTTTCAGTGTGTTTTTATTACCAGTTATCACAATGACATTATCCTTAATTTTTTATCACTTAATCTTATTCCAATGTAGCCTCAGATACTCACCTTCTTCAGCAGGAAGGGATTTATCATTCCTCAGGTCTTATAGTAAATGGCAAGAGCAAAGGTTCACTCATCTTAGCTATTTTCCTATAATAAGTTTCTTTCTAACTCTGAGCTAAGGAAACAAATTAGTTTAGTCTTTCAGGTATCTCCATCTCTCATAATTCTCAATTCACTCTTTATGAAACCATTGGAGAAAATAGAATCCATAATAAGGCTTAGAAATAAGAATTAAAAGTCACTAAATAACTTTAGTAGAAATACACACACACACACACACACACACACACACACACACTATTTGTACCTGGCAAACATCAAACATTAGTTAACTTCAATATTTTTTTTTACTGTATTAGCCATAGGACACTGTCAAATGCCTTCAGAATTATTACTGAGTTGTAGGGATAAATTTTCCAGGCCCAGGCAGGGGTGAGTCTCAGGAGTCAGTGTTATCTGAATTGAAATACGTAAGTGTACAGTCCTAAATATTGTGAGGCAAAGTCAAAGTCAAAGGTGGTTCCTTAAAACTAGGTATGCATCTCCTGTGGATATGATAAAACAATAACTGGGAAGGGGGAGGGAAGGAGAGGAAAGACTTATGCAGAACTGAAGGGTACTAATTAAAAGGACAGGAAAACACCTTCCACTTTTGGCTATCAGTGGACTGTCTCATTTCATATCCCACTGAAAACAACTAGAAATCTCAAAAAATGTTTTCTGAAAATTTGTTTGAAGGCATTAAAGGGACATCAAAGCACCAAGGACTTGAAAGGTCATGATTTCAGAAAGAAGTTCTGAGAAGTGAGTGCAACATCTAGTTATGCTTTTCTTTTCAAGGAACATCAGCATCTTTTCCATCTCCATGGATCAAGTTACCTTGTGTGTTCTGTGAGATACTCCTGAACCATTGAAATAAGTTCCCTTTTATGCTCTGACATGTGTTTGACAATTCATAACTAGAACTAAGAACCTGATAAGCTGGTCAGAGTTTTTGGCAGTCTCAAGGGATTTTTTAAAAAATGAAGAGCAAGGTCTGCCAAGGAGGAGAAGCCCTGGAAAGTACTTCATATTTTCAGTTGAAACTCCTGAGGAGCAAAACCTAAATAGTAAAGGAAATTGACCAGCCTGAAGGAAGGCTGAAACTCAGCTCCTTGTTAGCTCAGTTTGAGAAGAGATGAAATAATCTGCCCTAATCTAGCTTTCTTCAAGAAGCAAAAGTAAATTCTCTTTGGAAAAAGATAATGTTATCCAGAATCTCTAATTAGCTCTCAATTTTTCATACATGTTTAGCATTCTTTCAATTACCAGGCATACAACAAGACAAAAACAAATAATCTAAAACCAAGAGAAGAGAAACAGATGATGGAAAAACTACCATAGATGGATAATTTATCAGAGAACTAGAATCTGTTAGAGAAAAAAAGACTTGAATTGAAATACTAGAAATGAAAAACTCAGTAAATTATTTTTAACAGAATATCAGACAAAGTTAAGAGAGCGTTTTCTAACTGTTTTAAAACTGGGAAGAGAATATCCAGGCTAAAGAACAGAAAGAAAAATGATGAAAATATAGAAAATCATTTAAGAGACAGATGGACACTAGTGAGAAGATCTAACATATGTAATTGGATTTCCAGTAAAAGAAGAGAGAGAGGATGGGTGGAAGCAACACTAGAAGAGATAATGACCAAGGATTTTCTAAAATTAGTGAAAGATGTCAAGCCACAGATCCAAGAAATGCTACAAACAGTAAATAAGAAAAATATAAATAAAATCCACCTAGGAACATCATAGTAAAATGACTACAAACAAAGAAATATCATTGGGTCAATTGGATATTCAAACACCAAAAAAAAGTTAATCTTATTGGATACAAAGTATGGGAAAATATTTTCTCTCATAGTCTTTTAACTCTTATAATGACATCTGAGTAGAGTTCTTATTTTCAATGCAGTCTAATTTATAAATTGTTTTTTAAATAGTATTTCTCGTATTCTGTTTAAGAAAACTTTTGTTATTTTATGGTCATGAAGATATTTTCCTACATTATCTTAGAAGTTTTAAAGAACTAAAATTAAGTACAAATCAAAGAAATTCTCTTCATTAGCATACACTAGAAAGGGAGGGGGAAGACAAGCCACTGAGAAATTTTGATGAGGGGAATCTGAAGAACTGGCCTAAAGTGGGGCTGGTAATAGAAAGAAATGTCCAGATATGCTACAGGACAGCTAAACTCTTAGAAATTTTTGTAGAATTAAAAGATAATAAATTGTTTTGTTTTTGTTTTTGATAAACTACCCAGCCTGCTCAAGGGCAAAGTGCCTAGACTGACTATTTTTATAGCTTATCAGTTTACCCCCAAAAATGTAAAGGCAAAATGTACTCTTCCCTGAAATGTTGGCAATGACTCTGTTTGTCCTGAATTGCAGTTCCCTCTCTCCAGACCTGCTTTATTCCTCTTCCCTTCACAGACATTTGTGACCTAAATTCCATCTCAGTGTTTACTTCTGGAGAATCCACCCACCAACATCAATTGACTCCTCCACAAAAAACAGAGTAAAACAAAACTCACTGTTCTCAGACTGCTCAGACTGTCCACAGATTTCTCCTTTTCTCTCTTCTTATAAGTCTATACTTTGCCTTTGTTTCTTAACAGCAGTCTAATGACAGCTCTCACTTGTATATGTGAGTAAAATATTTCTATGTCAATGGTGACTAAAAAAATCTAGAAATTGTTCTTTGACACTACAGAATTGAAGAAAAATTAACATGTATATTGAGAACCCTAACAAGTCTATAGAAGAAACATGTAATACAAAAGGAAACAGGTGAAATAGGCACATCACAAAATAGTATATCAAAAGGTCAATAAATATAAGAAGGTACTCAAAATCATTAGTCATCAGTGTAAATTGAAACTACAATGTAATACCACTAAACATCCAGCAAAATGGCTAAGATGTAAAAGGTCAACAATAATTATGTTGGTGAGGATATGGAGCAACCAGAATTCTCATATGCTGCTGATGGGAGTGTAAATTGGCTCAAATATTTTAGAAAACTCTTTGGCAATATATGCTAAAGCTGAACATACACATATGCTAAGACCCAACTACTCCACTACTGGGAGAAATACCAAACAGAAGTGTGTGCATATATTTACTAAAGACATGCACAAGAATGTTCATAGTAACTTCATGTGTGATAACCCCAAACTGGAGTCAACTGAAAGGTCCATCAACAATAGAATGGCTAATATATTTTACCCATACAAAGGAATACTACAGCATTGAAAACAAATGGATGAAAGCTGCATGAAAGCAAAATGAATGAACATCTCAGGCATAATATTAAGCAAAAATGTAGGCATAGAATGGTACATACTGAATATTATGGACTAAAGTGCACACACACACACACACACACACACCCCTAAAATTTCATATGTTGAAGCCCTAACTCCAAATGTGACTGTATGTGGAGATAGGGCCTTTAGGTAGATAATTAAAATTAAATGAGGTCATAAGGGTGGAGCCCTAATCTATTGGACTTGTGTCTTTATAAGAGGAGGAAGAGACACCAGGAGAGTGTCCACACAGAAGAAAGGCCATGTGAAGACACAGTGAGAAGGTTGCCGTATACATGCCAGGAAGTGTTCTCACCAGAAACCAACCCTGATGACACCTTCATCTTGGGCTTTCAGCCTCAGAAGTGTGAGAAAATTAATTTCTATTATTTAAGCCACCCCATCTGTGATACTCTGTTATGGCAGTTCAAGCAGACTAATGTGATTCCATTTACAGATAAAGTATTAAGAAAGAAACACCTAATCTATGAAACTGGAAGTAAAGTTTACTCCTGTCAAGGAATGAAGGTTGCAATGAGTAGGAGAAGGCATGAGGGGGACTTCTGGCATACTGCTGGTGTCCTATTTCTCGACCTTAGTGGTGAATACATGAGTGTTAATGTTGTGAAAATTTATGGAATTTTGGTATATGTGCTGCCGAAGCGAGCACAAAATTTATGGAATTTTAGACTTATGTGTGGTTCATTAGGTAGTATACATCAATTTAAAGTTTATTTAAAAATAAACAGGAAACATCAGGCTCATCAGGGAAGTCTGGCGGATAACAGAAGTGTTCAGGGGGTTTGGATAAAATAAAGCCCTACAATCCCCACCTCATCATGGGAACTGATACAGAACAGGTTTTCTGCTTTCCTTTCTCTTTTTATTTTTCTCTTATTTCCCAGAGCATACATTCCTTTATGAGAGCCTAAGGAAGCAGCTGTCAATGGAGCTGGCTGTAAAAGGATGAGACAGGAAAAAGCAGTCAGCCGGCCAAAGGTTGCAAGTCAAATAGATGTATTTTTGGAGTCTAATCATGTTTCCAATAACAATTTGCAAGACAGCAAGACTGAGCTTATGTGGATACTGTCCAGCCAGTTTAATGAACAGGGTCCTCTGAATGATTTCTCAGCAAAAAATTATCTTTAGAAAGTACAGACTAAGAATTTATCACCAGTTTAGATCCTGCAGGCTATATATATTTTTTAGATAAAACTCTGGAGAATAAAAACTTCATCTTTTTTTTTTTGCTGTTGTTCATGAAAGAATTTCCGAAAGTTGTGGCAAGAATTTTCCAAGATCAGGCGAAATATGGCATTTGATTTTGGAGTTGTGTAACCATAGATCCTGGCTTCAGGAGAGCATTGGCTCTTGACCACACCTACACTTGAAGCTGGATTCAGCACTTCCCTACATTCATTCCTAAGAATTGACTCCCTTCAAAGGCAATATTAAGCAATATATAGTTTACTGAAGATTTGGGAAAATATTTGGGGAAGTAGTTTTATGTTAAACACCATGGAGAAAGCATTCAATAAACATCCCAGTCAGTATATTTTTTCTTCACTCAGGCCCCTTTTAGCTTCATACCAATCTGAGGTATTCTCATTCTGATCCTCTCCTTCATTTTCTTGGCTAAATCCTTTCTGCTCCATGGTCTTCTGGAAGTCCAATCCCAGACAGGCAACCATCCTGATGTATGCACAGCCGACTGGGAAAGCTCATCCAATCTTTGCCTTCCATTTCTTTCTTATCAGTCCTGTGGGCTTTACCAGTCTTCCATACCCCACAGGAACTTTGGGTGAAAATTTTTTGTCCAAAGCATTACATGTACAGGCAGAAAGGTGGGAAACATCCTTTGCATTCTTGTTTTAATAAAAACTTAGCTTAGAATCAGGACACCTCGAGCCCTTAACTGCTCAGTGCTACACATTCCTCATACATTTGAACATCTGTGGAACATTTGGGGACACTTAAAAATTGTGGTAGTATGAGAATACAAGGTGTTGTTATTCTTGCATCTTGCTCCCAAGATTCTGACCTAAATGCAGAAAAGCAGTAAGGACACCAGCCTATGACAGTTGGCCATGGTTAACAGCACAGCGTGGGCATCCTGTACAGATAAAAGAATCTCCTTTTCATATAGCATGTATCCGAGAAATAGCACCTTCACAATTTGTGTCATTTCTTTTTGATGACCCCCAAACAAAACAGTGACTGAGATAATAAATGCTTTTACCTTGGATTGATCAAAATGCCCTGTGGTGAAACTGCTCTAGTTTAGTGCAGAGTGAGCCACACACGGTGTGAAAACTGCCATCCTTGGAGGAGAAGTGTCAACACCTGGGTTTTTGTCACTTAGCCTATCTTGAAGATTCGGCTGGTTATGTTTCTTTCTTTGTTCCTATCTGTGCGCTAATTCACACTTAAAAACTGATGTTGACTATTATTTGCAAAGCACCCTGAAATATATGGGTTATAAAGATAAAATAAGGTAATTTCTATCTTCCTTAAGTTTACATTTAATCAAAGAAGATATACACAGAAAACAAAACAAAGAACCATAAACAATAAAGACAAAGTAGAAGTAGAAGAAGGAGAGATTATTTATTGCCTGAGGGAATTAGGGGAGCCAGAATGATCTTTTCAAAAAACATATCTGCTCATGTGTTTCCTTTTTTTTTTTTGGTTAACATCTTTATTGGAGTATAATTGCTTTACAATGGTGTGTTAGTTTCTGCTTTATAACAAAGTAAATCAGCTATACATATACATATATCCTCCCTCTGCATCTCCCTCCCACCCTCCCTATCCCACCCCTCTAGTTGGTCACAAAGCACGGAGCTGGTCTCCCTGTGCTATGTGGCTGCTTCCCACTAACTATCTATTTTACATTTGGTAGGGTGTATATGTCCATGCCACTCTCCCACTTCTTCCCAGCTTACCCTTCCCCCTCCCCTTGTCCTCAAGTCCATTCTCTAGTAGGTCTGTATCTTTATCCCCATTTTGCCCCTAGGTTCTTCATGACTTTTTTTTTTTTTTACATTCCATATATATGTGTTAGCATACAGTATTTTTTTTTTCTTTCTGACTTACTTCACTCTGACAGACTCTAGGTCCATCCACCTCACTACAAATAACTCAATTTCATTTCTTTTTATGGCAGAGTAATATTCCATTGTATATATGTGCCACATCTTCTTTATCCATTCATCTGTCAGTGGACACTTAGGTTGCTTCCATATCCTGGCTATAGTAAATAGAACTGCAATGAACATTTTGGTACATGACTTTTTTTTTTTTTTTTGCGTTAGGCGGGCCTCTCACTGTTGTGGCCTCTCCCATTGCGGAGCACAGACTCCGGATGTGCAGGCTCCACGGCCACGGCCCACGGGCCCAGCCGCTGCGCGGCATGTGGGATCTTCCCAGACCGGGGCACGAACCCGTGTCCCCTGCATCAGCAGGCAGACTCTCAACCAGTGCGCCACCAGGGAAGCCCGGTACATGACTCTTTTTGAATTATGGTTTTCTCAGGGTATATGCCCAGTAGTGGGATTGCTGAGTAGTATGGTAGTTCTATTTTTAGTTTTTTAAGGAAACTCCATACTGTTCTCCATAGTGGCTCTATCAATTTACATTCCCACCAACAGTGCAAGAGGGTTCCCTTTTCTCCACACCCTTTCCAGCATTTATTGTTTGTAGATTTTTTGATGATGGCCATTCTGACTGGTGTGAGATGATATCTCACTGTAGTTTTGATTTGCATTTCTCTACTGATTACTGATGTTGAGCATTCTTTCATGTGTATGTTGGCAATCTGTATATCTTCTCTAGAGAAATGTCTATTTAGGTCTTCTGCCCATTTTTGGATTGGGTTGTTTGTTTTCTTGATATTGAGCTGCATGAACTGCTTATAAATTTTGGAGATCAATCGTTTGTCAGTTGCTTCATTTGCAAATATTTTCTCCCATTCTGAGGGTTGTCTTTTCGTCTTGTTTATGGTTTCCTTTGCTGTGCAAAAGCTTTTAAGTTTCATTAAGTCCCATTTGTTTATTTTTGTTTTTCTTTCCATTTTTCTAGGAGGTGGATCAAAAAGGATCTTGCTGTGATTTATGTCATAGAGTGTTCTGCCTGTGTTTTCCTCTAAGAGTTTTATAGTGTCTGGCCTTATATTTAGGTCTTTAATTCATTTTGAGTTTATTTTTGTGTATGGTGTTACGGAGTATTCTAATTTCATTCTTTTACAGTAGCTGTCCAGTTTTCCCAGCACCACTTATTGAAGAGGCTGTCTTTTCTCCACTGTATATTCTTGCCTCCTTTATCAAAGATAAGGTGGCCATATGTGCATGGGTTTACCTCTGGGCTTTCTATCCTGTTCCATTGATCAATATTTCTGTTTTTGTGCCAGTACCATACTGTCTTGATTACTGTAGCTTTGTAGTATAGTCTGAAGTCAGGGAGCCTGATTCTTCCAGCTCTGTTTTTCTTTCTGAAGATTGCTTTGGCTATTCGGGGTCTTTTGTGTTTCCATACAAATTGTGAAATTTTTTGTTCTAGTTCTGTGAAAAATGCCAGTGGTAGTTTGATAGGGATTGCATGGAATCTGTAGATTGCTTTGGGTGGTATAGTCATTTTCACAGTGTTGATTCTTCCAATCCAAGAACATTGTGTATCTCTCCATCTATTTGTATCATCTTTAATTTCTTTCATCAGTGTCTTATAGTTTTCTGCATACTGGTCTTTTGTCTCCTTAGGTAGGTTTATTCCTAAGTATTTTATTCTTTTTGTTGCAATGGTAATCATGTCTTTCCTTTACTTACACCCCTCCAATGGCTCCCCAGCACATTCAGAATAAAATTAATTAATTAAAATGTGAGCATTTCAAACCAATCTCCAGCTTTTTAGTCAGTCTCAAATCCTGCTATTCTCTCTCTTATTCACTGTTCTTCAGCACACTGGTCTGAATATAAATTTTTTTTTAATTAAATTGCTAACTGGTTGCATTTCTTGTGTTTCTTGTATCAAAGAGGCCCCTCTGGTGACATGGAAAAAACAATGGAGCCATCATGTAATACTTTCAGTAAAGAGTCAAAATTCCCAACAATAGATGGTAGGGGGAAAGAAAGAAGGATTTAGGCTACATCTTTTCATCACATCCACAGCACTGTGCTTGGGTTTTAAAGTGGTGTCCTTCCATCGTAGCCCCAGAATGCAAAATTAGGAAAGAACTGGTATGGAAAAGTCTTCTCCAACTATGTGTCTTTTGCAAGTTTTATGATTTTATAAATGAACTAATACTTTTAATAATAATAATAATAGGGCTTCCTTGGTGGCGCAGTGGTTGAGAGTCCGCCTGCCAATGCGGGGAACACGGGTTCGTTCCCCAGTGTGGGAAGATCCCACATGCTGCGGAGCGGCTGGGCCCGTGAGCCATAGCCGCTGGACCTGCGTGTCTGGAGCCTGTGCTCCGCAACGGGAGAGACCACAACAGTGAGAGGCCTGCATATTGCAATAAATAAATAAATAAATAAATAAAATAATAATAGCAACTAGTATTCATTGAGCACTGTGCTATGTACATATGCCAAGCAGCAGTGCTAATTACTTTACACATATCTTTAGGATAATTCCCCCAAAACCCTGAAGTACCACTATTACTATTATTATCTTCTAGATTAGAAAGTAAACAGTGAGTTCAATATCTTGCACAAGAAAATAACTTGCTATCTAGAGTGGTATTTAAAATTACATTGTATATCACTTAATGTCAATATAATAAATTTTGTTAATCTGTAACAAAGTTTTCTGGATTCTGGATTATTCCAAGCAGCGTTCCCACCTGTGATATATTTTTAAGACCTAGAAATACAAAACTATTGCGAATGATAGTTTGTATTCGTCCCTAGGCCTGGGCCTGGAGACCTGGAGATGAGCACAGTAACAAGTGTGTGGGAAAATTATTTTGATGAATAAAAACTATACCTTTGTTTTCTTAAACCAGTTTAATTAAATACAAGTATATATTTTGGAAATTTCTAGAAAGTCATTAGAAATAGTGTTATTTTCAATAACCGAGACTATAATAAAAATTCAGTAGTCTCCAGTGCTATCAAATCTCAATGCTTCCTCAGAGTGATACATTCTACAGTAAGAAAGGACACTCACATCAGGTTTTAACTGAGTTCCACATCCTAGGGGTCATTTCTTTACCGTGTTTAAGGCTCTCCTGTGGAGCTTGAGAATCCAATTATTAAACACAACTTAAGTGAGACTCATGAGTTGGCATTTTAAACTTTTAATTGAGTGACCAGGGAGAACATTTTTTAAACTCTTCTGGAGCACACTCAAAGTTCTTCTTTGCTAAGGAAAAAAAGAACCCAGTAACATCTTCTTATTTGATTAAGGGAACAAAAAAACTGGGATAGAAAAACCTCCATCTCTGACAGAGTAGGGTTGCCAGATTTAGCAAATAGAAATATAGGACATCCAGTTAAATTTGAATTTCAGATAAATAATGGATAATTTTTTACTATAAGTCTATCCCATGCAATATTTGGGAGACACTTATAGTAAAAAATTATTCATTGTTTAACTGAAATTCAAATTTAAATAGGTATGTGGTCTTTTTATCTGTCAAGTTTATTACAGAGAGACCAATTAGATTTCAATTCAATGGGTTTTAAGATTGCACTGATGTTTGTCTAGGCCTGACTGAACCTTATAAAGGGGGAATGGTAGCACTTTTTTATTACAAAAGTTTTTAAAATTCAAACACAGAAGGAAAAAAACCACAGAAAACAAGAAAAAATAATTCTGCACTATTCATAGCAGACATGTTGCTAGGTGCTCCCTTCCAGTGAGTGTAGGTCAATGTGACAAAGGGTATTGAGATAGAATCCACCAGCGTGCTTCATGTTGCCTAGGGGATGATCTGTTTCCTGAGCCCCTCTGGGCTGCCATTCTCATCACCATGAAGATACCAAAATCAGCTCCCGAGGGGGTAGATCTGGATGCTCTTCGGCTGATAAATTTGAAAGGGATTTATTTTCCGGTTAAAATAAAATCCTACTTATCTTGATATCAGACTTCCAGCTGATTCAGTTATTCATTAAACAGTCATAAATTCACAATTAAAGGGGGGAAAACTCAGATGTAGAAAACAGCTGGCACAGGCATATGTTCTATGTCTCTTGGCATGAGGTTGTGAGTTAGCTTACCCTTCTTGCCTTTAAAAGTGTAATTATAATTTGTTCTGACCTGTGGGTTAGATAGAGCAGGGGTGATGTTGATTGACTATGAGAATTCAATGCACTAGGAAACTGTGTTAGATGGAAAATTCTACAAACCAAAAACCATTCAGGGTTGGTTGGGCTGGGAGCATAATGCCCTCTGCCCTTTAATGGTCCTGCAGGACTCCACTCTCAGGAAGATGAAGCTTCAGCAATGGGGAAATGGCTACCTGTGCTTTGGGGTTTCCCAGAGGCTAGCTCAGGCCTCATCTTCTGATCTAACTTCCTGTTCCTCTCCTTGCCAAGCCTGAGCAGGGAGGGAAACAGGCGTTGCCTGAGGACCCAGCCTGGGTCCCCTGACTTCTACCAGGCAGCAACTCCCTGCCTTCCTGGTCCCTCCCCAGCTACCACTGTTCAAGTAGTTCCTTCAAACCCTAGTCTGTTTTACAGTCACCACCTTCTCTGTCTCATAGCATTTTTGTAAGCATATTAGTTTGCTAGCTGCCATAACAAACTACCACAAACTGCATGGCTTAAACAATAGGAATTTATCATCTCATAAATCTGCAGGCTAGAAGTCTGATATTAAGGTGTCAACAGGGCCATGCTCTGTCTGACAGTGCAAAGGAGAATCTCCTCCATGCCTCTCTCCTAGCATCTGGTGATTTGCTGGCTATCTTTGGTGTTCCTTGACTTCTGCCTTCATTTTCACATGATGTTCTCCCTGTGTGTGCATCTGGGTCCAAAATTTCCCCACTCATAATGACACCAGTCATATTGGAATAGGAGCTACTCCAGTATAACCTCATCAAAATCTAATTATATCTGCAACGACTTTTTCCAAATAAGATCACATTCTGAGGTACTGGGGTTTAGGACGTCAACATAAGAATTTGGGAGTGACACAATGTGATCCATAACCGTAGAGTTCAAGAGAAATGGCAAATATGAAAGCACCCTAAAAACTTAAACATAATACATGAATACTGCTGGGAGAAGGAGGGGAGAGCCTTCTTTGATTTTTCTGACATTTGCACAAAGGCAGACATTTTCACCACTATCCCTACACAGTGAATTCTTGTTTTTCTCTCTCTACAGGGTCCTCTCCTCCAGGGTGGAAGATGAATCCTACATAAAAGGCAATAAAAATTTTATATAAGAAAATAAAAGAAAATTTGGAATACAAGATTAGATAAGAAAGTAAGTACTTGTATATAAGGTGCCAAAGAAAATTGAAGCTACACAGTAAGTTCACCTCCTGAATGATAACTTTTATAGTCACTCTATTTGGGGACACTTACTGTGTGCCAGACACCATGCTATGCATTGCATGTTATTTTATCCTTATAACAACTGAATGAGCAAATATTATTATGCCCACTTTTAACATAAAATGATGGCACTGAGGCTCAGACACTTTAACATCAGAAGTCGCCAGCTCCGAGGCATGGGGGCTGGCAGCAAAGTCTAGGTGCCCTAGCTTGAAACCCATGCTCTTAACCACTCTGCCCTGAGGAGGGTTTAGAGTGGGTGGGTGGAAGTGGAAGTGAGAGAGAGAAGGAGAGAGACAAGGGGACAAGGGGACAGGTGTGAAAGACATTATAAAAGAGGAATGGAGAAGACTGGGAACAGGCTAGATTTGAGAGGGAAGCAGGAGTCGGCAGGGTTCTCTCTGAGCTTCTGGGCTTGTGCGACTGGAGACAATGATAACTTTGACAGCAGGAAGTGCAGAGAGGGAGCATGCAGGGACTAGAGGAAAGGGCAGGGGGAGCTCAGACATGCCCAGCTTGGGCCTCTTCTTCTCAGGAGCAATAGCCAGAGAGACCACGGTGCCAGCAATCCAGAAACCCACCGGCACAGATGCAGAGGAAAAGTCAAGTGTTGCAACAGACACAGGAGAAGTTGGAAGGAAATGAGAAACATCAGGTTTAAATTTTCCCAGTTCTAACTTTTTAGAACTTTTTCTTATAGGAAGAACACTTCGATCGTGTTTACTGATGATTCTTGAGAGGGTAGGGTATGGATTCTATTTGTTCACCACTGCCCCTTTCAAATTTAATCTTTTGAGATTAAATTTCTCCCCCTACTTTTTTTTTCCTCAAGAAAAGGCAAAGCAATTTAAATTACAAAGTATCCAAGAAAAATAAACGTCTATTGCTTATTTATTTCCATTAATGTCTGCCTTATTCACTGAGAATCAAGGGGACTTAGCATTTTTCTTTGTCTTATTAGTGGTTTGTTATATAATATTAGGTGCTTAATGTAATTTGTTTCTTGTTTTTCTAGTTGCAAAAGAAATCTTTGACCATAAAAGGATTTTGTGAATTTATGAATATGAGGCCAAGTGAGCAGTTTTAACATTAAAGTTTTATGGAATAAATATTTATGTAAATCCACACACATACATCTTAAATTCGTATGTGGGGAAAAAGATTGTATTAGATGATCTCTCACAATGTAAATTCTATGATTCACTACCTAATGAATCATGTACTTAAAAATGCTGAGAACATTTTGACATCTTAACACCTTATAATGTCTCATCTCTTCTCTCCTATCCTCACAAACACTCCTACCTTCTGCTGTCAATTGCTACACTCCCACAGAATGAAAACTTTCTACATTATCTGTCTCTGCTCCCTTATAGTACCTTGGTAACTAAGACTGGTTAGTCTCACCTGTTCTTGTTCTTTCTTTTTGCTTTAATTGGTGTACTGCCGTAGTGTGAAATAGTCACCTTTAAGGAGATTGTTGCTTGTTCTTTGTTGATTACCATTCTCTACTAAACCATGAGCGGGTAACGGTTGTTTCAGCTTTAAGGCAAAAGTGCCTATACAGGAGAGGGACAGAAATTAATCAGCCTCAGTGTATTCTAGCAGTGGATCTTAAAGTGATCTCTAGACCAGCAGCATCAGCATCACTTGGGAAAGTTTTTAGAAATGCAGATTCTTAAGACCCACCCTAGATCCACCGCATCAGCAACTAGGAGGAAAGGAGGGATTAAGCCCAGCAATCTTCATTCTAAAAAGCTCTCTGGATAATTCTGATATACACTGGAGTTTGAGAACCAATATATTAGAGTAACAATTTGCTCAACATAGAATGGAAGACTGTTCATGACAGAACAAAGTTAATATTCCCTGACGTACATCAGAAGGGACTGGAATTCATCAGAAGACCTTTTGCTATTTGACTGTTTGTCTGTTTGTTTTAAGAGAAATAGTGTCCTCCCTCTGCCATGAGCTGAGTAGAGAGAGGGCAAATTAGAGTCAGCATGATAAGGTAATATTAACATGTGCACATAGCAATGAAACACACATCCTTGGTCTCTTTAGGTAGCAGTCTACAAGCATATGTTGTACCAAATAATTGTCACATCTCTGTAGCAGAGGTGAGTAAACTTTTTCTCAAATAGTAAGTATTTTAGGCTTTGGGGGGCATTGGTCTCTGTCACAACTGCTCAATTCTGTTACAGTAATGCAACAAACAGCCCTAAACAATATGTAAAGGAGCATGGCTAGAGTTTCAATAAAACTTACCTTAGAAAAACAAAGGTGGGTTGGATTTGGTCCATGGGCCATAGTTTGCCAACTTGTTTTATAATGCTTCCATTTAAAAAAATTAAAATAAATGATGTAACCATTTCCCAGTTGATTGTTTAGTCATTAATCTGATATTTAATTACAGGTCCACTAACAATCCATTAACTAATTGCAGTCATTAAAAGCAACCCCCCAAAATCCAATGTCCCTATTCCGCTTTGCTGGTGGTTGATCTGTAAACAATCAACCAAAGCATAGTGTTGAGCAAACTCAACTTGATGCCCGATTTTCCACCTAATGCCCAATGGGAGCAAATGTTCTGCCTTCTTAGACATAATTTTAAATAGTTTGGGTTTACCATTTTTGCTACATCACAGGGCATACCAAAATATAAATTAACTTACCTCTATAGCTGTGGATCCTACAACAATCATTTAGCTGCTGTCCTAATGTACAGCTCTTATCCGAAGGCTGCCTCTGCAGAGTAGGTTATGGGTACTGTGTCTCATCAAAATTATTGATAAGACTTCGTTAACAGGGTTTTTTTTTTAACTTTGACTGAAAAAGATAAAGATAACATCGCATTGCTGTTAGAGCAAGTCATGACATGCAAGTAAATTTAATATATGCTATCAGTGTCTTTCCTAAACAGCAGGTTAGTGAGCCTGGGTAGAGAAAAAGAAGGACCCAAGATGGTGCTTTGATTCTTAGTTGTGTGAATGCATCCCGGGAACACAAGTAATTGGGCTCATTTCATAAATTGAAAAAGATAGAAAAACCCTAGACATCTTTCCAAGTACAAAAAGAAAACATGTTGGATAATTTTGAAATTTCCCACCCTTCACTCTGGTCCCAAATGAAGACATATGCCAGAGCAACAGCTTGAACTTGTTCTGAATTTTGAGTTAGACTCATGCTAACTTTCCTTATATTGTTATTCTTTCAGTATTATCTATATTATCCTTCTGTCCATTTATAATTAGTAATCAACTGAATTTTTGCAGAATACAATGCTTAATGAAGAGCCAAGTCTTGGGCTGTTGATGTTTCCACCAACTTGAGAAACATCTTGTCACTATGTGCCGAGTGGAAAATGGGAACTGCAGAGATAATGGCCCATTGTTGTGTTTTAGAATGTTTTCTTTTTTTAAATCATTATTACTCTTTATTATTACTATTACTTAGGAAATTATCCCAAAGTATTAAGCATGATACCTAATCTATAAATGCATGCTCCCCTCCCCATATAACAATTTCATAGTACATGGGTCCCCCCAAAAATATCACCCAAATACTAATTAACAAAAAGTTTGTAATAGCATGACAAAATTTGTTATAATGATATATGGGGAGGAAAGAGGTGCAAAATACATAATCTATGAGCATGACTGCAGAATGATTTCTAATAAGCCATATTTCCAAAAAGTATTAGTGAAATGAGGAATGAAGATGGGATCAAAAGGATGTGGGCTTAGGTATATGCATCCTCAGGTGCAAAAGGACACCTCTTGTCCACCTTCCCCTGATTTTTCTAAGGATGTAATATGATCTATTTTTATTTCTTCAAAGACACTTCATTAGATAAATATATCAGATTCTTCAGTTTCAAGAATCACATTCTGTGGCCAGATGCTTCCCAGTGGTTATTGGTTTTATCATAAGACATACTACAGCGACATCACCCAGATTCTGTTCATACTCACTCATTCATCAAGTTTATGCTGCAGCATTCTACTGCAATATCCTGCCACATGGCTTTCTCTCAGCTCATGTATGGCACAGGCTGGAAGTGTCAGGGAATTAAATCACCCAGGAACAGCTCTCAATCAGGGATGCCTGAAATTGAAGGGTAAATATCCTAGCTTCTTCACATTTCAGGTACAATAAATCTTGGTGTGTTTTACATCTAATTCCACAGAGCTTGAGCCCCAGTTGTTCACAGCAATAGCCTGCGTGATAACGCTTCTTCTTCACTTTTCTGTCCTGTTTTCTGCTCCCCTACTGATGCCCTCTGAGATCACTTCCTAAATAAACTACTCACACTCAAATGTGGGGAAACCCAAATCACACACTTAAGATATCATTTACATATTGCTACGAACATTCAGTAAGTTCAAATATGACTTTCTTCTCTTCTTGCTGTTTTCTTAGGGAGGTAAACTGAGAAGATGGGGGTTAAATCCCCCAAAATGGACTCACTAGAGGGCTCTCAAGTCTCTATCCCTGGATATGTCACAAGTTGAGATAGATGCTCTGCTGCCTGGAATTGTTGTGGTGAAAATGATCTGAATCTCTGGGAAAAGACTCAGGTTTCCAATTTATACAGGCTAGCTGGGTTTGGCAAATCAAAATACTGAGACCAGTCTGTTAGTCATAATTGATTTCGATCTTTCTTACCCTCTGCTTATTGAACTCTGTGGTCTGAAGATAAAGAGATAAAGCTCTCAATGTTAAAATTACTGAATTCCACTCATGGTTGTCAAAACCAGAGTTAGGATATTTATTCCGAAGCATATTGAGTTCATAATATGTGTTAGAGCCTCGTTTGACCTTTACAATGACCTGTAGATTTAGCAAGATTATAAACTCCATTTTATAAGGAAACTGAGGTCAGAGAAGTTAAGTAACTTGCCTAAAATAACAGCCAGTAGAGCCAGG